CCTGTGGCACAGGGGGCGGGCAGAACGGCATATACCGCTTTCCACCGACAAGGTTCTCGGGCGTGATGACTTCACTGGCGTTGTTTTCGGGGGCGCCGAAGTCGGCGGCCATAGAGGAGGCGTGCGAGTCGTGGATGGGCGAGAGCTTGCGGCGGGTGAAAATGGAGTCGAAGGAGGTCTCGGAGTATGAGAGCGGTACGACGTGGGAGATGCTCACCGGACGGTGTTGGGCAAAGAAGGTGGAGATTGCTACGTCTATAAGATGTTAGAATCATTTTGCTCTCTCTAGATATCGAAACAGAGAGATGGGGGATAAATCGCCAACATACCAGCAGGGTGCAAATGATCCGTACTTGGCACAACGGGGATGTTAGTTCCCTCCTTGACTCCCATAGCACTCGCGGAGGACCGCACAGTCTTCAACCCCGCCCGTCCACTTCTCTTCAACGCCGCGGCCGCGGCCGCAATCCCAGTGGTGGCTGCGGTGCCGTTGCTGTTGTTGCTGTTGTTGCTCGGGGCGGAGGGATTGCTTGGCTTGCTGCTGCTGCTGGAGTATCGTCTGTTGCGTTGGCTGGCCATCATTGGCATCGAGACGCCGGACGGGGTGATGGTGGACGCCGTGGTGGTGCCGCAGACACGCGGGGCGAGCGCGATCCGTCGGAGAGAGAACATTTCGAGTGAGTGGGTGAGTGAGTGTAAGGGCTTTTTGAGGTGCTGCTCGCAGGGGGGAGGAAGAAGGGGCTATCTAGGGGTATCTAGAGACTGTGTAGGAGTGTCGTGGTGGCGGGCTGACGATGGGTTGAGGTCGGACGTTCAGGTTTGGTTGGCACTGCCAAGACAGCTGATTCTTACCCAAAGATGCAGCGCGTAGAGAACGGGAATAGGCACATCAATAAAATGCAGGAGATCCTCTTTTCCCTTGCTTCTGCTCTAATTAATCCTGGGGTAGATTATCTACTATATAAATACTGAAGTCTCCCTACATACATCTTGTCGATCTATCTGTCCATCCACCCAGTTTACAACTCGTGACAGGATTCAATTATTTATGCCAGACAAATAACTCAAAATCCCCTCACTGGGCCACCGTTTAGAGTTATACGGTGTACCTACTGTTACGTCTGATGCCTTCCTGCCCAGTCCTACTTCAAATTCAATGCTCCCCGCGGGGCCCTGAATGATGTGGCCGTGTTCACTGTCCTTTTTTCTTTCCCACAAATCGGTGCTGTTGTGTAATCTAACGTCATAATACAATGGTACCCATTCGTCAGCCTCACCTCTCAGCCCGAAAGGAAATTCGGTAGATGTGCTTGATTGAGATAATGACTGGCGTGTGGTTGCATAACTGCCCTTAAAACGGGTCTGGCATCCGGATCTCGCCTGTCTCTGTTTTCTTTTTATGCACATACTTTTTCGGCCCGGTGTCGTGCTTCGGTGCATAACGCAACCACCCGATCATTCGAAATCACTCGGGCCGGGTACCATCGGCTGTGTGGTGTTCGGCTTGCTTTTCGGCATTTGTGTGGTGGACAGGGCTGCGCCAATGATTGGCAGATAGGTTGTGAGGCGAAAAAAGTTTCAGATCCAAATATCATTGCACTCTTGGCATCAGCTCCCTCGACTTTGAGCGTCTGTTTACGCACCGCAATAAGAACCCTTTCTTCCCTGGCTAAGTGTTTTTCCGCTGTTGCCATAATTGAAATCTCTGGAACTTGTGCCCCACATCGCGGATGGCCGATAATGGGGTACAAAGGGTTCTAGTTATCAAACTTCCATGCCTCGCTAGCTCAATCGGTAGAGCGTGAGACTCTTAAGGTAATCTCAAGGTTGCGGGTTCGACCCCCGCGTGGGGCTTTTATACTAAATCGATGGGGAGGTTTTCTCTCAAGTTGACGTCCTGTTTCTCGATTAGTTTTTTGGGCCATGATTTTTAGATAAGGTGTACATTTTGGGAGTAGGATTGAATCTAATGGAGCCATAGCTTTTTAGCAGTGCATGATTTGATAAAGAACGACAGGAAATATTGGAGCTAAGGCTATAATAACCCACATAAATATATATATCACCTAGAAAGCACACGAGGAAGGTATACCACGGGTAAGTGCTATTAACCTCATATGTGGTGCGCGCCAACGTATACAAATCTCTATCCACGATAGGCTTTGGAGTTTCCTTCGGTGTGTCTGAAGGGCAGAAAACATCAATTCTCTGCCGCCATTGCCGCCTAGGTGTTGATACGACTCAAATTGTAGCAGGGAGGTGTTGACAAGTGTTGATAAACCAATTTGCCTCGGGTCCCAGCTAGGTCTTAATTCAGTGGATTCATCAGTCCTGGACTACTCGCTGCGCGCAAACTGAGGGTTGGGCCAATACCTTTCACAATCGGTCCGTCGTTAACGTTAAGGGCCATGGTTTGTTGCTGTTATTTGTGATCATTATTCATTGAATTGCTGGTTTCCAGTTGGCAATTGAGTTGTATAGTTTGGACGTTGTTCCCAGCAGGCTATGCATACGTATTGCACTTTATTTTGATGAAATCTGTTCTCAAGGCCCTAGGCTTAGTTAGCACTTACAAGCACTATAGGGGATTTCGTTCCAACTTCCTCATTTCCTTCGTCCCTCCTTTTTTTCGTTCCTCCTTTCTTTCAAATGGACAGTCATATTTTTCAATTTTCTTTTCTTATCAAGGATTCTATATTATTTATTAATCCCAGCTAGAGCCTTTGGTGACTGGTTTCGACATATAGAGAGTTCCGTCCTCGTACCATATCAGCTGATCTCAACGGTGATCTCCGTGATGAGCCGAGTGATACTTTATGTACCCACATGCCTTCCACTTCGAATCCTTGACGACGACTTTAGCCACCATGGGATTATAGAAACCCGATCCCGCCACGATATATCTCAATCACATATCGACATCGACATATCGACATAAACATATGGATCTGGCAGGTAACATCCGACCGGCCATCCGAAAATTCTTCACATCACAACTATACAACACCACCACTACCACTACTACTACCACCTCTCCTTCTATATACCCCCGGTTTCTTATAGAAACACCATCACACCTACCACGAAACGGCCAGTCCACCATCACTCTACAGAAAATTCCCGACTCGCTTTGGAAACACAAGCCGGAACCCCGCACCTACCTCGCATCTCGATCCTTCCCTAGCTAGATCCTGCGCCGCATACGCCCCGCATCCGAAAGTTACACCACAGCCAGCCAGCCAGCCAGATCCAGCCAGCCGGTCAGAGCCTCATTGTGCTCCCATCTCCATCTCTGCTAGTTCGTCACTGCACTGTTCGTGGGGGTAACTCAACTCAACTTGACCTGCCCTACAGATGTGACGGACAGCATCATAACCAACCGGTAAATCATGCCCATTGCACCGCACCCACAACATTTATCCTATCCTCTACCTGTACCAAGTATGCATATGTAGCACGACATATACTATACTCGGGACTCCATCCTACTGTGTCCAATAGAGTACATATATAACGTATATAAGCCAGGTCTAAGACTTGCAACAAAAAAAAAAGGCACATAGATGACGCCCCTCCACCCTTTCCCTCGAGCCCAAAAACTTGCCGATTTATCTATCGTCCAAAAGCTAGTGTGATCAGCTTTCAACCCTCATGAAACTCCCTACCTGCACTGTACGAAACACGCAATATTAAGCGCATCACTCTTAATAGTCGCAAAGTAGGTACATCTTTCTATGTATGGCATGCAGGGTGAGATGAAACATGCACACCACCGGGACCTGCATCACGCCTAAATGTTGCTTCGGCCCACTTACCGAGCCGTACACTAGGTGGGTAGGATCCGAGTGACATTGCATGATACATGGCCCTGGGGAGGGGGCTAGCCCCGCCATCTTGACTCTGAAGAGATTGTTGCATGATTGCCGTTGGGATGGGCGATCTGATGAGGCTCGCGGGGATAAAAAAAAATTAACTTCAATGAAGCCCCACGCGGGGGTCGAACCCGCAACCTTGAGATTAAGAGTCTCACGCTCTACCGATTGAGCTAGCGAGGCATGAAGACTGATTGGTCATATTTAATAAATGATCAAAATAATATATAAACATGGCACTGTAAAGTATTGCGCCAGCATCATTACCCAGCAATCAGGCAGCAGATCTAGGTTATTGTCTGTCAAGTACAAAGAGCTATTTGACTGCCTATTTCCAGATTTCTACCTAAAAGTAGAGTAGATTATCTATCGGAAGCTAAAACCTTAATGAATCGTTCAATCTCTTAGGTCCCTTTGCCCATTCAATCCCAATCCCCTCCATCCCCCCAAGCCATGTTCATCCCCCCCATTTGAAAGATATTTAAATACAGAAAAAATTATAGTTACAAGTAGAATAGGACATGAATAGAAGATGCAAAAAGCAACAAGAAAGAAGAAAAAACACCATAAGTTGTTGGCAAACACTTCCCTTTAACCCCAAGGGAACGGGGTATCCCGTACGTACGTACCACCGCCCCCTGCATCGATATTCCACGGAAGAGATTGTTTTCTGATAATCCAGCTAAGCCCCTTAACACCCCCCTCCCCCTCCCCCTCCCACCCTTCCCCTTCTTCGTGTCATAAAAGCGTGCGTGCATGACCTCAAGTGTCTCACAGTCCACCAAATAGGGAATCTCAGACACTCTGAACTCTAAAGCCAAATTCATATGTAGTGACATGAACCGAGTAGAGTTGAAACCACCAACCTTCGTGAGGGCGCAAAGAAGCAAAGCAAAATAAGAACGGATAGTTACTCTTATGTTATCAGATGCCGTTGATCGGAAGCTATCAGGATGCAAGATGATAAATGTCAGATAATTAATATAATGTGTGGAAAAAGAAAATGTGAATGCGGTTATGAAGCCACATCACAGTCTTTCTAAAGATCTTGAGGAAACGCCGTTGCGCCTTTTCCTTTTTTTCCTTTTTCTTTTCTTTTCTTTTTCTCAATAAGACGTCCAGGGGTACCTATAATACCAAAGTTTGTAGATTCTTTTGCAGGATCATGTCCTGTACACTTGACATGGTGATCTTGAGAAGATTGGTATCGGTAGCGTTTGTGAAGTGAACATAGATCTCCTGTTTCTGTTGTGAGTTGATGAGCTTCTAAGCTAGCATAAAGGGATTGGTGTACCCACCTTTGCGGGACTTCGGTTTAATCTTTTAAAGTTCTCTTCGAAGTATTGAGACGCGTGTTTGTACGATCTTGGATCGCCAGTGTAGTCCGGGAAGTACTTGCGTACTGGGCTTGTAGGTAGTTTTTCTTTAAAAAGATCGATCTTGTTAAGAAATAGAATAATTGAGGTGTGGATAAACCATTGCGAGTTGGAAATGCTTTCAAAAAGCATCAGCGCCTCTTGCATTTGGTTCTATCAACAGACGGTGTTAGTGTTCGTTTATCCACCCCACAGATGGTAGTTCATAGCGGTAAAGCATACGGCGTCTTTATCCTCCACCAAACACTGATCGTAACCACTGATAGCTACCAAAAACAACAGTGCCGTGACCTTTTCAAAGCAGTGGATCCATTTTTTTCGCTCCGATCTCTGGCCACCAACATCGAACATCCGGTATGTCAATGCCCCCAAATCGAAGACGGTTTCTGTGATACCAGTGGTCTTTAATCGTGAACGTAGAATGTCTTGATCTGTGGGGGTGTAATTCGACATAAATAATCGGTCAAGACTTTCGAAAAAGCTGTAGATGGAGTTTATTAGCAAGAGTCGTGCACCTGTACAAAAGCCAGTTATGGTGGAACAGCAGAAATGTTTAATATCAGTTATTGAAAGTTGGATAGTACTTACTAGGTCAAATTATCGTGCAAGGCGTACTCATTTCCCCTGCTAACAGTACTTCGAACCCCGGGATCCATCCATAAACTACGGAATGCAGTTTGATATTCCTTTGGAAAGCTCTCGCCGCGGGCCAATTCTCGTTCCATTATCACTAGCTCAACGTAAGACTAAACACAAAGATGAAGATATGTTAGTATAACATCCAGAATTAATTATTAATTCATATCATGTTGATCAAGTGCTTACTTCGTTCTCTTTATTTACGAATGTAAGATTATATGCCTCCATTGCCTCCAGTATTATCTTAAATGAGTTGAGAAGGTTCGAAAATATAATGACACGGTAGTCTTCCCGATCGCTTTTCGAGAATCCGGAAGCATGGATCAATTTCATCTGCTTCAGTATCGTTGATTTTCCGCTCTCGCCAGCACCTATTTACCTATTAGTATCGTTATGATACATGGATCTAGAGAGTTGTGGGTGGCGGGCACGACAAAATCATCAGAAGTTGTGGCAACGACTCACCTAAAAGTAACAGTTTGACCTCCTTTGACATTCTTTTCTCATCTTGACGGATGAGTTTCTCGATCTCTCGAGATTTTTGGGCACCCACATCTGCACTACCTCCCATACACATTCTTAGAAGGCGCGCCAGGACTGATGAGATCTTGATTGTTGCGGTATTAACTCCCTTGAGAGGAGCAGCAGTATTTGATAGTTTTGGTTTGAGAATGAGATGATGTGAATGAATGTCTGGTTGTTTATTCTTGGGGAAGATGAAGGAGAGGTATGGAGTGCGGCGCAGGGTAGGAAAATGGGAAAATGAGCAAAAGGTGGGAGAGGGAAGCTGTAAGTATAATATGTACGCTGGTTCTGTGTGGGGATTCCCGATACGGTACGTACGGGTTCGTGCTAATGTAACCGCTCTTGGAGTAACCCACAACACTAATAAGCGCAAGAAGGGTCGGACAGATGCAAAAGAAGCCTTGGCCTGTACCGAATGCAGTAAGATGTAGAAGAGTAAGAGATGGGGGGAGGAAAATATCTGTTTGATTGATCGCTACAGTTACAATTCTTTATTTCCTTTCGTCTCTTCTTTCCGTTGGATACTTGGTCTTCTCTGCTTCTTCTGTTGCGCTAAATTCTCCGATGACGATGATTTTGATTGGACCGAATGAGAACTGTGGAGCTATTTCATGCGGAATAGAATTAGGATTTGCGAACAAGGCAGGCCAGTATGTTTATGGACCACCCACATTTATATTGTTCCACCCCTCAACCTTACCGTAGTCAAACCTCGGAAGGTTGCTGTTACTGATTGAAGATTAAAGCTTTTGTTTTCTTTTTTTGGATGTGTCAGATGGCAAAGAACTGAGCACCAAGCAGCTTAGGCTGAGCAACGAAGGAGCAATTGCTGCAAAAGATGACGACAATTGAAAAGTAGAACACAGCAGCGTTGGAATATGTACGTACCTACGTCAACGACTCAACCCTCGCTACGTACTGGCAGCCAGATGGAGCAAATATGCAAGCAATAGCTGGTTAACACAAAGCATGCAGCGAACAGAGCACTGATGGTGATGATTATGATGACAATGACTGTATGAGATAAAAAGGTATAGGTACTCGGTGATAAGTATGAATGAATATGTGTGGTTATGGTTATGGTTAAGGATGTGGAGGATAATGATATGATACGATGGATAGGCTGACAATTGAAGATTCCGGTAGTACAAAAGGAGATATTGTACACCTTGACAGCTGGCCTGTATTGTACATACCAACATACATGTATTGTACATACAAGAATATATGGTGTCCAGGCAGAAGAACGCCCAGGTAACGGAAATTGGTCAAAAGCGAGATCACCGTAAAAGTTATATTTTTACCGAGATGATTGCGGCATGTAATCCAAGCGGCCACTGTGAGACAGTGCACGATGTTACAGACATGCTCTGCCTGGCTAGCTACCCGTACAGGCAAAGATAGAACATATATGTTACGTCTCGATTCTTACCTCTTGCGTGTAGTTACACTCTACTTGTTTTTAGACTCTTCATCATCTTCATTATTCACCACCAGTGCACCCATATGAATCCATATAGATACCAATGGATTATCACGTCAAGGATTCGATTTTACCTGGACTGGACCCTTGTTAGTAGATGAGTGTGTCCTTCTCTAATCCCACACTCTAAAAATCCCAAAAAGATATGGCTACACAGCACGGATGATGCTGCCACAGACAAGTATTCATGCTCAGACGCATACCTATATCAGAGTCTGTGCGGTCTCGAAACTCCGCTCTGAATGAAACCAGCTCTCCCTGGTCTATTACCAAACGGGGCTCGGGAGGGTTCATGGATCGGGTCAATAGGTGCATACAAGTAAGAGGTCCACCGAAAAACACCTTTTGCAATTATATCTTATTACCATTATATTGACAGTAGTAGAGAAACCTCGTCCCTTTGTCATCTCCATCCCGCAGACATACAGCTCTTGAAACCCCCTTCAGGGACGCAGGTCCTAGATCGGACGAACAGGAGAAATCTGGGGAATACTGTAGGTACAGAGTACATAAACTCGTTACACTCTAGTCTTTTCTCGCGCCATTTCGTCTGATCTAAACGCCAAGCGAACAAGGGTTCATCTCACGCGAAAAGTATGTCGACCATTTTCGACACCCTGTTCGCTTTTGGTAAAGAAGCATTTGTCTATATCAGACCTGCTGCATCTGGTTATTATCCACGGTTCCAAAGAAAGACTTTAGGATATCGGATGAAATGATTTCCGGCTAGAAACGGTAGCTCTTTAAACCAAAAAGAACAAGAAAACATTTCTGGCGACCTGTTCACGGGGCTCCTTAACTTGTTTTGTGGCTGCAGCATGAATGGCAGGGATGAAAGCATCAAAGGATTGCAGCTGAAAGTACCTACATACATATACTCTAGTTCCTGGTTCCTCGGAGGTGCAGCATGTTCGTTGCATCGAAGGTTTCTCATCCCTTTCATGAAGCAGGACCAAATCCCACAACTGCACGATGTGTAACTTTATGCAAGGTTAGTTATATATATCAACAGGTACATAAATTCCCTACCATACTCTGGGTCTGATTCTCCGCATCTTCAACGGACCGGCGTGATAGGGAATCAAAAGGCCCTGCGGAAGCGATATGTAAATGCAGCATCTCCTCGTGTCCGGAAATACGAAATTTTCTGGAACTGGCACCTTAAATGGAGCATAAACCCTCAAAAGCCACCGGGAATTCTTATCCGATACGTGCAAAAGAATGCATGTTTTACTATCACGCGGCGAGTGCAGAGAACAAATTTTGGTGGCATCAGAAACAGCGATCATCAGAAACATCCTCGGTTTTGGTTTTTCGGGGCTCGAAAACGTTTTGTGGCGTTTCCATTCACTTTCCCTTTTTGATCTATAAACCCACGGGCCCGGGATTTGGATTTGAACTGTGTCTTCTCCATGATGCTTCACACGAAACAACCGCCGTGCTCAGTGTCTTATTGGTGAGCGTTGAAACCCGAGCCTCTCTCTGCTCATTTCTGGAAGATAACCTCAACAAGTAACATGTTCCCTTCTGAAAATAGTGCCGCTGATGCCCTGAAGGGTCCTTTATGAACTCCGTCGTGATTACCACGTGTGCCTTCGCCGCGTGGATGCCAGTGCCGTGGGAAATTTAATGTCGAGGGCGACTTAGAAGCAAGGTTGAAGCGGGTGTTAATCTATTTCATTGGGCCAGGGTTGTTTTCAGTAACTGTTGCAGCTCAGGGCTTGCGCGGTTTCTTTCTCTCCCCCACTATTGCCTGAACGGCCTGCCTCGCCGGAGTTGCCGCCGTTTTGCCTCTAACTGTAAGTGCATACCTGCTTGCTCTTATCCCGAAAACGCAAAAAAGGGTGCCGAGGCCCTGGGGGATCCCTTTTTTTCGGTTGACTGCTGATCTTGAAATATTTGTAACCTAGCGTTCTTGACGGAGAGTGCAGTGTCTTTCCAATTAGCGTACAAAACCCAGACCTCATATGCGTGACAAAACAGATACAGCCTCTGAGTCCCGTACCATTTCAAGACACTTGACTCCATGTGAGTGTGAAGTTACCAGTACCTTGGCTTGTTCCAACTCTTTCTTCCCTTGCACCTAGGTTCAAGCGATTCCTCGGTTGACGATCTGACGGCCCAAAAGTGGGTTACGGTATCTTGGTAACTGGTAATTCTCGGCGGGGTAAGAACGAATGCCGATGGAGTCCGAGTAGGTGTTGTTTTGACTCGGATTAAAATGCGTGATAGAATGACGATTTAGGAACTCTAGACTCGGTAATATCAGCGAGAATTTTATTACTCTATCTACTATTAATTGCTCGAGGAACAACCAACAGAGGACGGTGCACTCTCTAGACATTGTCAGCATAATATCACTAAACACAGCTGCACCAAGAAATGACATCTCGATGATTTGGAACATGGCATGAGGATCCCCCGGTTAATCTTTTGGCTCATGACAAGACTCCCTGTATCATTTCTAGTGAGTTTTCTGCACATGATTGATTACTTTCTGAAATTCATGAAATGAATTCTATGTATCCATCACTAGCGCAATTACAGGCTTAGAAATTCGAAAGCGTAAATGTAGGTATGTGTATCTAAATCCGAAACATCTGGGCCGCTTGGAGATCCAGTATTTTATTGGAGTACATTTAGGTACATGCACCTCCGGAGAACAGCCTTGGCCATATCGACATCCCGATATGCGCAGGACCATAGATCGGCCCATAACTCAATTGAAGGAGGAAACGCAATGGATGCTCGACGCAAGGGAATGCTTGCTTTGGTTTATCGACATCATGGATTAGCGGGATGTCCGCATTGCACATATAACCTGGGTCAGGCCTACCGTAGTTACACCCTTAATCCAAGTCAGCCCTTCTCCAGAGATATGACGATAACGACCGGAGAAATGAACTGATGGTTCATGTAGTGCCGTGAGATGATCGGTTTGGTCGTTGTTTGGCTGACTAGATTGATATTCTGATGAATTAGCAAATACATAGTTTACCTTTACTATAGAGGGTGCTCTTGACATGAGCTTCATCTGTTGCTAGTCACTGGGAATCCGGGGTGGGGGCATTGTGGGGGCATTGTGGGGACCTATTCGATCATGCACGACGTCTGTGCGAGGCGCGTCTGTTACATCCCAGAACCAATCAATATATCCAGGCCAATGGAGACATATTACCTTTTGTCCATTTTCACTCAAGGAGGCTTGAAGTTAAAAGCTACGACAGAACTAGCAGTCCATCCGATACACAGTAGGTAATTTTTTCCTCCTCTAGATAAAAAAGAATTTCCCCTCGAAAAACAGTACAAGTCGATCAAACATACTAACAGGGTCGGAATATCCCACGGCATGTCAAACTGGATTGCACGGGGTCAACGGTAGGGCCCAACTATACGCCGACAAATAAACAGGACCCAGCATCGTGTTCTTTCATATCGCTGAAGTTTTAAACGTCGGGGGGGTGGTCTGCTGCGCTGTGCTTTCTTGAGAACTTAGCTACAAAACTGCCACAGACATGGGTCATAACAGGAACGCATATTCTTGGGCAATTGCCTTAACCAGGAAGAATTGAGCACGCACATTCCCGAAGGTTACTTGCATATACTTGCATATGACGTCAGATTGGGATAGAGGCACGTGAAAGGCATAAAATTTCATTACTACCTATTAAAACATCGCGAGAATACACAGCTATACAAGTTTAATTTGATTTGATAAATCTTCACTGAGGTGTCTGTCAACTACGATCGAGGCGATGTTTATTGAGATTTAGATATCCTTTCTCAGGGGTAGAGAAACAAACGGGCGCAAATGTCATTGAGACATGCAGAGGATATGTAAATCTCTTGAGGCCGCACAAAAGAGCCTCCGAATGGATATTGAGCGTTCCGCGGTCACTAATGTTTCTCATGTAATTACGTACGCGTCCTGTATAGGGAGAGAGGGACACTGTATTTGGAGGTAGCCTGTGACCACGGTGGTGACACGGCGCCAAGGAAGAAGACGTGGACTTTTGTAGACTTAAATTGGGAGGAGGAGGACCTAGGAAAAGACAGGCGTCTCCACTAATAGAAATTCTCTCTGTCTCTCATCCATTCTCTATACCACGCGAGATTGGAAAACATTTCTCGCTCTGCTACAACACTATCAAAACGCACTCGCCAATTGGTAGGATAGCAGCGGGCTCTACGTGTACACCCCTAAATTCATAAACATCAAGCTATAACAATTCTGGAGCGGGAGCTTCCGCTGCCATGCTGACGATGCCTTGTATGTAGGTTACATCATCATTTATAAAGAGTTCGCCTACACCGTTACGAGTTAATGATTACTTAGACCTAGACTTACTATAAATACCGGAATGGAACGGCGGGCTTAGTCCAAGCTCAGTTTACTGCAAGAAAGCTCTTTCCGGGCAAAATGCACCGCAATCATAGTTTATCACTCGGTAATGTGGAATTTGCCAGTTTTGATGTACCCAAAACACATCGTCGAATATATATATGATGAAACCGAAGACTGTTCATAACTTTGCTGGTTAATCGTAGGCTTAGCGCAGGTGGCGGGCAGTGCAAGTTTTTCCCGTGGATCGACTGGTTCTTGAGGTCTACGATCCCGCAATCCGCTAAATAGTTAAACAGCACGATATCTTTTATTATTTATACACATTAAAATAGCAGTCTCGGTACGAAAACCCCAGAAATTTTCGCGCCCGCCAGTCTAACACAACTGTGCGGGTGACTGCGGCATCTGGGTTTGGTCTTGTGCTTACTATACTGCTGCGCACAGTCGCAGAACAGTAAACCAGTGAACTGCGAATCATATCGAGGGAATGCAATACTCTTAGTCAATTTACGATCGTATACCTTGGACGTTGCGTTTCATAAAGATTTTAATGGATCGGGGTAGTTAGACAAGGTACCTCCTCCTCCGAGACAGCTGAGACCGTTGACTGAAGGTATCTTATGATCCGGAGTTGTGAATTCCCGAATATTCAAATCAGCTAACAACCAGGAGTCTCTCTGGGGTGCTAGTACAGTACCATGTACGTCTCCAGCAAGAATTTCGAGTTTTGGGTAACCCTAACCCGCACTTTCTATGCCAGAAAAATACAATTATTCTACCGCCGATAATAAATTATCAATGCAGCCAAGCTACAGGAGAAGAACGCCCCGCTATTTTTAATATGCTAAGGCCTCCGATAACACGAACTTGTGAAAATTCGGTTGTAAAAAGAAAGCGTCGTGCCAGAAGCGGCATTACTGATAATTAACCTAGATTTTACTCATGCAAGCGACAACACCACGGTCTTGCGATAACTTGATCTCGTATACCGTCTACTGGTAAGCTTCCTGTTCTCAAATCCCTTTTAAAGCATCCATCCTTCAGGTGGCCCGGGTACACTGATAAGCAGCAGATAAACGATGAATCAGAGACCGAGAGAGAGTGACCAAGCGAGAGGCCGAGGAAAAGGCAGAGAGTAACGTGTGCCGTGCTCCACAGTACAATCGTTTCCATGTGGAGAGAATTCTCTGAACAAACAAAGAAACCACGGAATTCTTTGTTCTACAAAAACATGCGGTTTCGATCATTTCCACCACGACCGCGGACGTCATTCCACTTCGTTGGCGGAT